CCCAAAAAAAAAAAAAAGCATTCCCCCAACCCCTGAAGCACCTCTTATACCACTGAATGAGACCAACACCGACCGGGCTGCCACCCACCACTGACCAACCCCCCGGCACCAGTCCCCAAACCTACCTGCAAGCCCTCTAAACCATCCGCGCCCACATCCCCCAACCCCCAAGGCCCCCAGTTATGTGTGTGCAGGTGTGTTGTGTGTGCGTGTATGTGTATGTGTGTGCCTGTGTGTGAAAAAGTAGGGGGGGTTGACCTGCCCAGGGTACCCTGGGTAAGTGAAAAAGTAGGTGAAGTTTTTTTTCTTTTTTTTGGGGCCTGCGGGGGCTCTTCTGCGCACGCAGAGAAGAGCCCGAATACGGGATTGTTTTCTTTTTTGAGTGTTGGCTGGGGGGGGGGGGGGGGGKAAGGACTGTACAACATTGGCTTCAGAGGGGCTAAAGGGGTGTAAATGGGGGTGCCTTAGTCTTTTTGTTTTTTTTAATCTTTTATTTGGTGAGAAATTCAGATGTGACCCTCAGCCAAAAGTTGTTTGCATTGCAAATCTACACAACATTTTTTTTTTCCGAAACTTTTCGAATTATTTTTACTTTTTGTTTTTTCCCTTGGGCCGCTCGGAACCCATCCCGGGGGTCATGCCCGCCGGCCGGGCATGAATCCGGGCAGAAGTTGGGTGCCCGGGCGCCTGGAAAAACAACCTGGAAAATAATGGAATAAAATACTAAAGCAAATATTAAATAATAAATATGGCAATTTTGAAACATTTCAAATAAATTTTAATTTTAAAAATCTCAAAAAATACTCGAATAAAATACGAAAGGACCCAGGTTCGTTCACTTACTCTGTACATGTGCAATCGTCTCTTCTGTCATCAGTGGCTCTCCCGTTTCCACATTATAAAAGACAGGAATGGGCACGCCCCACGTCCTCTGCCGTGAAATGCACCAATCCGAACGGCTCGTCGTCATTGCCGTGATGCGATTTTCGCCTTGCGGTGGAATCCACTGGACGGACGAGATTGCATCCAGAGCCGCGCTTCGAAAACCCTCCACTGACGCAAACCACTGCTCGGTAGCTCGGAAGATGGTCGGTTGCTTGGTTCGCCAGTCGTACGGATACTTGTGCCCTGCGTGTTCATCCATTTCCCATCAATTACACAGCAGCAGGCGGACAAAAAAATAAAAGAAAAAAAGAAATCAAAGAAAGAACGAAAGAAGGAGAGATGGAAGGAAAGAAACAGAGAAAGAGAGAGAGAGAGAGAGAGAGAGAGAGAGAGAGAGAGAGAGAGAGAGAGAGAGAGAGAGAGAGAGAGAGAGAGAGAGAGNAGAGAGAGAGAGAGAGAGAGAGAGAGAGAGAGAGAGAGAGAGAGAGAGAGAGAGAGAGAGAGAGAGAGAGAGAGAGAGAGAAGGAAAGACAGAGAGACAGCATTAAAGAAAGAAGGAAAGAGAAAAAAGGACAGACAGAGCAACAAGCTTCCAAATTGCAGGTCACAGGTTGGCGACAAGTTTTGAGTTTTGACTCTTGAGTTGTTTTCGTAGTTTAAAGAATTAGACTTCGAAAGACAGAAATAGAGAAAGAGGGAAAGAAAGGAGGAAAGAAAGAAAAGGAAGGAAAGAAGGGAAGAAAGAATGCAAAGCAACATGTACTGGTGACTCTGTGATGATATTTATACTAGTATTAAAAATAGAAAGTGTTATGATATTATCTATACATTCTGGACAGCTAAAAACATCTTGATCCCGGACCCCAGACTGCGTGGACCCTGGTCCCATGGTCCGCCCGATGGTAACCAGTTATTTATTCTATTACTAGTACTTTACTACTTAGAATCTTAGGTTCATTTTGTTATGCTTTCCTTTAATGGCTTAGCTGCGACGCCAGCTGGTGTAAGATGCTCCGTGCCGAGCGCTGTAGAGCATAACACACGAGTGGCCGGAAAACGATGAGCAGACGGTGAGATCGAGTGAGCAAGCGTCCACAACAAAAAGGAAACGTGTTTCCCACTGGCCGCTTGCTCAGTTGGTCTATGAACTGTTGAAATAAGCACACCTGAGTTCGAAACCAGGTGGAACCAGACAAATGAAATCAACGAATTCTGAATAACCTGGGGCCGGTCAGTCCGGCAGTGATATCTCAAGGCCGTCAGCCCGTCGCCCTTTTTTCAAAAGAAGAAGCGAAAAAGAAAAAGAAAAAGCAAGGAAACTGAAGTCGGCAGCTGCGTGTGCCTACGACGGCCACTCTCCTGGAACCGCGGATCAAGAACAAGGGGGCGGCCGTGCGATCGTGGGGGACCGTCGTTTTGCACCACATGTTTTTCTTTCTTTGTCCCCCGTTATCGTGTCACACCGCGGTTTCAATCCCGCTTTCATCGAGGCCATCACTCTGCACCACACATTTCCTGCACCCGTGCCGTATTTTCACCGTTATTCTCCTTTTCTCTGTCACCCGTTGTCTTCTGCATCGTGTCGTGGATGTGGTTACTGATCAACGTCACGTACATTTAGGGCATCAGGCCAAGCCGTGCACGCACGGCCTGGAGCCAGCACCCTCAGCCTCGAACCGGCACCCTCAGCCACAGGAACGAAGTCTCGTAGCCACTACAACCATTGGAGGTGTTATAAAAAGTGGATCCATAGCGGTCATGATATCCAGCCCACCTCCAGGGCTGTAGCGTCCTTGAATTGAACTTGCACCACACACACGCAACACCACACCACACCACGGACACGGCAATCAACACACACCCCGCATGGACAGCACGCGACCCGCCACCGCTACTTAACCTGGTCACTCCAACTTCCTGTGGGTTTCACGGGCACCTTCACAGTAGTTACCAATCAACGTGCATTTAGGGCATCAGGCCCCGCCGTGCACGCATGGCCTCGAACCGGCACCCTCAGCCGCAGGTAATCCATCCCGTTTCCAGGGGGCAAACTAAAAACAAAATAGCACCTCGTCTGAAAATGAAAAAGTATGTTCTTCCTCTTTCCATTGGTGTTTTTTTCTTTTTGTCTTCTTTCCCCTTCGTCGGTCATCATTACGAAGTGCCCAGCGCCCAATGCCGATACATTGCCCATCAGCAGTGACAGGGAGAGTGGCTGGCAGAGAGATTAGGTTATCCAACAGCAACAGCAGGGGAAGAGGAGGAGGAGGAGGGGAAGCACAGAAAGTGGAGGAGGAGAAAAGGAGAAAGGGAGGAGGGGAAGAAGAGGAGGAGGACAAGAAGAAATGAAATGGAGTAGCGAGTTCAATCACTGTGTGCCGACGCTGACAACTGCATTCGACAAAGTATCGGCATGGACATAGCCATAGCTCACAAGCATCCACATTAGCCACGACACGTTTCGCCTGACTGCGCACCAGGACTTATCAAAGGGCGATCCACACTCCTGCATCCACCACAAGAAGAAGATGAGAAGGAGAAGGAGAAGGAGAAGGAGAAGGAGAAGGAGAAGGAGGAGGAGGGGGGGGAGAAGGAGGAGAAGGAGGAGGAGGAGGGGGAGGGGGAGGAGGAGGTGAGGAAGCTCACCATAGGCCTCTTCCAAGAGCAGAGCATGGCAGTTATTCAGTGCATCGACTACCGCTGTGTTACCCTCTGCCAAAACACTCTGACCGGCAAACTGACCCGCTTCGTCAGTGAATCGTCCTTCATCGTCGACTGGCGATAACAGAGGTAATCCGTACTTCAATCCTGTTGCATAGTCTTCCTGTCCATGACCAGGTGCTGTATGGACTAGACCGGTTCCAGAGTCCGTCGTAATGTAATCGCCACCGATCACAACTGGACATTCGCGATCATCCAGTGGATGTTTATACCTGCCATCCCATAAGAGGGGAAGAAAACCAGCAAGCACGAGGAGGTACACACACGAAACCGTTCAAATTATAAAATACAGACAGACCCAAATTCGATTCCAGCCACAATCAGATGACGAGAATGAAATAGTCACGACTTCCCTGCTGCCAGTCAGTTCAACGACGATATCTACACCCCTTTCAAAGCAACAACAACAGCAACGACAACGACAACAACAACAACAACAAAGAAGCACGAATATGTCCAATCCGCAAGCCCTCCACTCCACAGAGTTTGCGGAGAAGAGGAAGAGGAAAATGAGGAAATACTAGAAGCAAACGCCGAGGAGAGGGATGCAAACACTTCGATCGGTGTACCTCCTCAGGCGCCTAGCAAGATTTTTTTTTTTTTTTTTTTTTTTTTTTGAAATTAGCCCTTGTCTGAAGACTCTGAACCCTGTATCCTGGTGGTGGTGAGAGAACCGTCAGAATTAAGGGTTCAGCTGTCGGGCTGCTCCATCTATTAGTGGGGAGCGGCACCTGCTGGAAACCGGGTCCAGCCTTCCATTGAAACATCTCATAACACAGTATTGGGTGTTTGTTGCTTCCAGGGGCGCTGACAGTGTGGTCACTTCTCTTCCCACCCCGGGGCTCCGATCTCCCATGGGGCTGCTGTCATGGATTATTCCAAGTTACTCTGACACTGAACCTTTTTTTTTTTTTTGGTGATGGTAGCAGTGGTATTTGATTTCAGAGGTAGTAGTGATGTTCAGGGGTCGTGGTTAGCCACGGACTTGTCGAGGGTGGAAGGCAATCCGATGGCCAAGTTGAACTATGATCTTCTGCCAGGTCAGCGATGGTAGCAAGAGGAGGGCATGCTGCCGGGTATAGGTCTGGGAGATTGAATAGAACACCTAAGTCTGTTTTTTTATTGCTGATAGCGTCACTGGGAATGAATGGTTTAATAGAGGGAATGGTTTGGGATAGTCCATAAATTTTCTCATTATTTTCTTAATTGAAGTCGGGTAATGCCTCCGAAATTCTACCTGTTTACTCTTTATTTTCGTAATTGAAGTCGCGTTAAGGATGGAGCCGCAAATCGAACACTTTCCCAATCACTTGTTTTCTAAGGGTCTGAAGGATTTCTCTAAGAAGTAGAAAGGGGTGTGGGTCTCCCACACATGAAGTTTTCCAAAAAAAAAAAGGAGAAGAAGATGTTGAAAGGGGTGTAGGGCCCATGGGTAGCAATCTTTTCCCTCTAGGCTGCTCTTCAGCTCTATTTTTCTGACCCCAGCCCTGTCCCATTCTACCTGGTGACTTCACTTTCTTTTCCAAACACTCTGTGTCCGCGTTGAGGTTGGGGCGGGTGGTCCCCGTAGGTCAGGTTTCTGGGTTTGTCTTTCGAATGCTTGCTTTATTTTTACGTGGCATTCGACTCTCGGGACCTCTCACTTCTTACTGACCAGACTGGTGCGCGCCGACTCTGTGCCATGTGTTACGCTCCCCAATGTTCGTACAAGGAGGTTTCTCTGATGACTCTAGTTGGCGCCTGGTTCTGACGAGAGGCGCCAACGTATGATCCTACAACGGTGTCATACTGGCAGCATTCCTGATCAGTCCCATTTTTGGCATAGTTGCACATCCGCGGCCTCAAATACGTTTCGCTCCACATCTTTCTCCTGTTTTTTTTCTCTCTCTTCTCTCTGTCCATCTCTCTCTCTCTCTCTCTCTCTCTCTCTCTCTCTCTCTCTCTCTCTCTCTCTCTCTCTCTCTCTCTCTCTCTCTCTCTGTCCATCTCTCTCTCTCTCTCTCTCTCTCTCTCTCTCTCTCTCTCTCTCTCTCTCTCTCTCTCTCTCTCCTGT